GATATTGTTAGAAGAATTATTGCTCCTTTTTATTGTTTATGATAGTATTATTGAATCAATTGTTTTCTCATATAATAAAGCACTTCTGAAAGTAAGTAGAAACATAAATTTTGTTTATTTATTGCACATGTTCTTTTGTATAATAAGCGATAAACAAGATTGTGACAAAATTTAACGTCGCAAAAATATTCGGACAGTGAATGAATTACATTAATTTTATATAAAATGAAAATCTTTTTAATCATGTTATCATAATAATAATATTTTGTCGGTTGACCCCTTTGTTTTACTACTTCATGTAATCGCTTGGGCATGTTACACATGATTTTATTTAAATAATGCGGCGAAATCCGTTTCCATTCGTCTAACAAACGTTGTTTTATCTCTGTTGTTGTCTTTGTAGGTGTTGTACGAATTTTGCGGTCCAATTGATCCCATAAATTTTCAATTGGATTTAAATCAGGCGATTGAGGAGGAGGATGCAGTACTTTTGGACAATTGTATAATAAATATTCCTGTACAATTCTGGCCTTGTGTTTAGGATCATTGTCCTGATAAAACTTAAAACTGTACGTATACCCATATTTATAGCACTTGTAATTAAATTTTTTTTTAAGTGTCCAAATATTTTATTTTGTCCATAATAGCGTCGATAAAAACTAGTTCACATACACCTACAGACGAGATACAACCCCACACTATTACACTCCTACCACCGTGTTTCATTATCGGTCTTAAATTTGAAATGTTTAATTCTGTATTTACTTTACGCCACACCATTTTTTGACTGTCGGATCCGTAAAGATTAAATTTGCTTTCATCCGAAAATATTACATCATTCCACCACCAGTTGTCTTTGTAAAAATATTCTTTTGCAAATTTAAGACTTACAGTGAAACACGGTGGTAGGAGTATAGTAGTGTGGGGTTGTATCTCGTCCGTAGGTATAGGTGAACTAGTTTTTATCGATAGTATTATGGACGAAATTAAGTATTTGGACATATTTTTTTTTAAATTTAATTACAAGTGCTATAAATATGGGTATACNAGTATTTGGACATATTTTTTTTTAAATTTAATTACAAGTGCTATAAATATGGGTATACGTACAGTTTTAAGTTTTATCAGGTCAATGATCGTAAACACAAGGCCAGAATATTTATTATACAATTGTCCAAAAGTACTGCATCCTCCTCCTCAATCGCCTGATTTAAATCCAACAAAGACAACAATAGAGATAAAACAACGTTTGTTAGACGAATGAATTATTTAAATAAAATCATCTGTAACATGCCCAAGCGATTA